TAATAATAAAATAATTTATTTTTGGTTTAATAATATAATATTTTATAAAGATAATAATTAAGTATTCTGTTAGAACTCAATGATTATCTTAATTGTATTTTAGATTTTTTATATTTAAAATGAGATATTTATCCTGTATTTGATTGTGTTTATCTGTAGTTAGTTACACGAATTCAGATATGGAATGAAATCGGATAAGAATGAACGAGTTTAAGAGTTTTTAAGAGTTTAAGAGTTTTAAGAGTTTTTAAGAGTTTTAGCCAAATGCTTTATAATATAGTATAGATATATCGTAATTAAATAAGATAAACTCTATTTTTTGTGATAACTATGAAAACTTTTACCTTAATGTATTTTTTTCATATGATTTTTTCACATTTAAGACTAACATGTAATGTATTAATCAATGCACATATATTTGTTTTACAATGTGTTTGTTTCATATATAGTCGGTTTACAATGTGAATTTTTTTTTCATGTAACTTTTGTTTCACAAACAGGTTAATTAAAAAAGTTTACATTATAAAACAAATATATGTTAATCAATATTCTAAATCTTAATTGAAAAAAAATCATATAAGATAACACATGATATACTGAATTTCATGGGTTTTTAAAAACTATACTTATATATATATATATATATATATATGAAAGAGAAACATTTTTAATCGCATGTACACCCATGAATTACGTTTTAGAAGAGAATTAATCTAATGCATCTCGGTACACCTCACTAATGTTGACATTCAATTATGATTGATTCAATGTTGGGAATCTCTTATTACGCTTCTCACTATAACTTCTTTTCTCATAAGAACTCAACCATATATACACACACACACACATATATATATATATATACACATGTACATATATATACATATATATATGATGTGTGTGTATAAGGTTAGGTTCAAGAAAAAACCGTAAAACATGAAAACCTGAAGAACACTCTAGTAACCGTCCAGATAAATGATTAACAGGATGCTACTTAGTTTATCATTTTTTTAGGTTGAACCTGATGTTAGTTTGTAATAGATAACAAGTACTATAAATGGTATATAACTTAAAAAGTCAATAACACCACATTAATTTTTTTCATATTTTTCACATTCATTAATTTCTGAATACACAGATAGAAACTAAAACTGTAGGCTTAGCAATTGATCCATGAGCAAGAACAAGCCAGCAGTAGACTACTCTTCATCATATATAATATATAACATAAAACAAAGAATATATAGACTAATCCATACCAACATCATAACTCATAATCACTTGCACATCCATCCATCCATCCGTCATTTATGTTTCCCCAAAGCAATCAAGTCTCATGATCATGACGATCATCAGCTTGATGTGCCAACCGTTTTCGTTTCTTCTTCTTCTCGTAGCTAATCCCTCTTGCTTTCGATTGTACATCACGAACCTCTCGAAGATAAAGCCGCACGGATCGAACCCCAAACGGGTTCGTCTCCGGTGATCCACCGTTCTCCTCGTAAGCCGCCCTAAGACGGCCAATTAGGGCATCCAAACTTCCCCAAGCTTGTCGAAGTGGACACGGACAAGGTGCAGGTGGGTTTGGATGTCCGTAAAATGGACATACGAGGTTGTGAACCTTAGTCTTTCCAAATTGGTCGATGTAACAAAGGAATTCAAGCACGTTGGCCCCACTGCATTGTGAGATGAAAAGTGGTGGATGGTGGTTTTTCAGGTACTGGCAGAACGTGTTCCAGTCTCGGCGTTTCTGGTTCTCGTAGCGGCTAGGGGTTGTGGCGGCAGTCGCCGGAAAGTTGGTGGAAGATGAGCCGGATTCCACCGTGGCGAAACTATGATCTTGGTGGTGGAGGTTGTTATAGCAGGTTTCTGAGAAGGGATCCATTAGTTGCAATCTAGGGTTCTGTTTCTTGAAAGTTAGGGTATATAATGGGGAGTAGATTAAGTTGATTTGGGTAGATTTTGATTCTTTTGGGAAGATCTAAGACATGATGTTTGTCTCTTTGTCTTTCTTTTTTTGGGTATGGTTTTCTAGGGTTTACTTTCTAAGATGTTTATATAAATGGAAAGGGATGGAGAAAAGTTGAGTTCACTAAACTAGGGCAAAAGTAGTCATATATATATATATATATATATATATATAGGGGTTAGTTCAAATACTAACCAAAAATTTTGTGTTAACTTTGTTAACCAAGCTCAACCAATCATATTTCATCTTTTTTTTAGGTTCACATATAACTCATATATTAATGAAAATGGTAATTAAGTAATTTATCATTTATGTAACTCCCAAATCATTAATTGGAAGTTACAAATCTAAAAATCTCAATAATTGATGATTATATAATATTGATATTTTTTATACGTGTTCATGTTTTGTAATTTCGATTTATTCTATCCATAATGATATTGATTTTGTAATTGTTAAAGAATTTCCGATTGTAAAGATTTCGATATCGTCCGAGTAATATAGATAAACCTATTGAAAAACAGATCGACAACAATGAGAATAAAAAGGTTAAAATCGTCTACGACTACAATCGGAATTCGAATTCATATGTAATTGTTAAAGAATTGTTCACAAGTGTTCATATTGTGTTCATATGTACATTAGCTGCATATCTCAATATTTGTTTGCTCCTGAATGTGTTCATAATGAAAAACTATTGTTCACAAACTGTTCATATTGTGTTTATATGTACACTAGCTGCATATCTCAACATTGGTTTGCTCCTGAATGTGTTAATAATGAAGGAACTATTGTTCCCAAACTGTTCATATTGTGTCATACCTGTTTTTTTATTTATTTACTTTTGTGTAACAACTATTCTTATTATATTCATATTGTGTTCATAAATGCTATACAGTCCAAGTTCATATATATGTCAATTTTTGTTCGTATTTGACACAATGGTTCATATATATATATATATATATATATATATATGTATGTATGTATGTATGTATGTATGTGTGTATGTGTGTGTTTGTGTGTGTGTGTGTGTTCATATGGTTCTCACATTAACAAAAATAAATTATTAAAAATAATGAGATTTTTTGATTTTGTAACTCACAATTAATGATATGGGAGTTACATAAATTTTTTTACCTAAATATCTTTTTCCCCTTTGTTCACATATGTTCTTTGAAATTGTAAATTTAAAA